ACACACACACACACACACGCCCTCCGCCCTCAAGCCCCCATCAGAGCTCTGAGTTCATGCTCATTTAGTCACACTCAGAGACCTGGACTGCAGTGTTGCTTTTCCTGCAAACTGCAACCATTTGATGGAGAACTTTCGTACATTTCTCTTTGGGCAACTTTGAAATGAAAGCATTGTAATGTAAGCATTGGCCCCTCCTCTGATATAAACAGTGGCTATAAATATACAATTTCCTTCTAAGTGGACTGCCCCATTATAACATGGATACTCTGTGGCTTTCAGGTGTTTCTGCTGATAGGGAAGGATTGCCCTTTTCTCCTGCGGGATCTCCTTGCATCGGATGAGCTTGCTCAGGTCTTCGGGCAGCCAGTGGTAAGCTTGGGTAGTGGAAGTTTATCGAGTTCTGGCAAACGGAGCAATCCACGTCCCCAGTACTTTAGTCCTCTCAGTGTTCGTGCTGCTTTAGGGAGAAATGGCTGTACTAAGTTTGAGATAAGACTATTTGCCTTTGCCACATTCCCTTTCAGAATTGTCCCTCTTCCAGCCACCAAATAAAGGACATGCTTCTCATCCTTCCTAACCTTAGGACAGGTGCGTTGTGTACTGCCGAGGGACACTAGATATGCAAGCTATTATTGTTACATGTCAGTAGTTAGAATATGAATTTAGTCCGGGATAAAATTTCAGCACTTTAGAGTGATATTACAGTTTTATTCTGAAATAGCAATATTTTTATCCCAAGGGAGACAGTACTATGATTTTGCAAATGTTTAAACTTGTGGTGAACTTGCTCTTAAACTAGACATCAATTCAGAATGTTCAAGAGGTACATACTTTTTTGAAAAAAGGATAGAACCCAGTGAATCTAAGACTCGGGAATTAGCTTTTTTTTGGGTTGAGGCATGCAGCATAGAGCAACTGTGTAGTCTCTGGTGGAAGACCATGCTGGGGCAGCTGGTGGGCAGGACACAGCGTCTCTGGGGGAGAAGTGGGTGTTTTGTGATAGCCCTGCCCACTGCCACTTCTCCCATCACTGGGAAGAAAGCTTGCCTTTCCCTGAGGAGCCGGCTTGAAGGTAAGGTGTATACTGTTCGTCGTGACACCAAAGTCCTTGATGAGGACACTTGCTTAGTTCTGCCTTCCTACTGTCCTGTCGCTATGCTTCAGCTCCAGTGCTTCACCTCGACCTCCACCTGACTGCCCAGACTTCAGATCCAGGACACGTGGGGTGACAAGGGGGCAGCCCTGCGGGTGGTTCTCTTCAGCCTCTGACTGTTAGATACAGGAACATCATATAGGGTAGTGAGAGGGCAGCCCTGCGGGTGGTTCTCCTTGGCCTCTGACTGTTAGATACAGGAACGTCACATAGAATGATGAGAGGGCAGCCCTGCGGGTGGTTCTCCTCGGCCTCTGACTGTTAAGATACAGGAACGTCACATAGGGTAGTGAGAGGTCAGCCCTGCGGGTCAAATGGCATCTCATGTTAAGTGGAAATGTCTCACAGTTGGAACTGTTGGTTTTGCTGGTGGAGGGAGACCCAGGGTATGTCTTCTTCCCTTCTCAGCAGCCTTTTGCCCTTCTTGGAGGCAGCTTCTGTTTCCTCTGAGGCCCCTGCAGGCTCCCTCGCTTTGTGTCATCTCTCTGTCTGCACTGCTGCCCATTTCTCTGCTCAATCTGGAAGTATTCTCAGGGAATGGGAGTGTGGCCTGTCACAGGCATATGTCACTCTCCAGTGTGCACAGCTGGACCACGGCCAGAGAGCCCCTCACACACCCTGCTTGTCTCCACACCCCTCCTCCCCTAGTGCCAGCTTCATGCTGTCATGTTTGCCATTTGTCTTCTGGTGTAGGATGTCAAGTCAGACATGCTGGCTTTGCCGGGCCAGCACCCTGGCTGGGTTTCCTTGCTGCAGTTTTCTTACCTGCACGGTACACAGTGAAACTGTTGCCAGGTGCCTTTGATTTATAGCGGGTTCATGCACAAAATGAAACCCTGCCTGCTCCTGGGCCCCGTGCACAGGCCCCCTGTTAGAGTCACAGTGTCAGTCCGTCTGCTGAAGTGTCTTCCTCTCTTTCTCTCACCCTCCACTTTTCCTAACTTGAGGTCTTTTTCCAAGGACTGGCCTCTCTTGACAACGTGCTCCGTGTGTGAGACTGCGTGTCACCGTCCTTGTCCCCAAGGAGCACCGTGGGCACTCCCCCAGGCAGAGCAGGGTGTCCCCTGGCAGCCCGTCCTCACGGCACACTCAGGGAGAGCGTCGCTGCCGTGGGTTGCTGTGAGCTAGAGGAGTTCAGGAACACAAATGAAACATGGGTCAATGTTCACATGTGTTGGCTTTATCAGTTTACCAGCCCTAGGTGCCGGTTCAGTTATAAACAGAATGGAGGCCTTGACATGGTATTTGTTTTCTCAGTGGTTGCACGTCAATGACCTGTCACCTTTTACCTGTTCAGATGGACACCCTGAAGGTGTTTGTGGGCTCGCCCCGTGGCCTCAACCTTCGCAACGTCTGCTGGCACGGCTTTGCAGCCCCTTGTGAGGTTCCGCCCCAGTGAGTGTGGCCCGCCCCTTCCTTCTCTGGTTCTGTGGATGGTTGTCTCTGGAATTCCTCAGGAGGGCGAGAGGCCAGAAGGAGAATGGGAGCCTTCCACAGGGTTTTGCAAATAAAAGGGCTTATGTGGTGACGGTGTGCCCTCCATGGCCCTACAGAGGCAGGAGAGATGACCCGAGGTCCTCGGCCCTCTGACCGCTGGCTGGCTGCTTTCCAGCGTGGGAGGGCCTGGGCTTCCACCTGAGTGGCGGTGTCGGGGGAAGCTCTTCTGCGTCCAGGTGTTTGTGCTCCTGACCAGCCTCTGCTCTGCTTTCCCTGAGGTACTGTTCGATGCTGCTGCTCTTGACGGCAGGACTGGGGCAGCTCCTCCCAAGTTTCCTTCAGCGATCGAGCCGGGCACTGGTGCACCGACCCCTTGCCACTCTCACAAACTTAGAGGATTTGGTGGTTTTTCCTGGCAAGTACCTCATTTCACATTTTCCCCAGCTGTTAGATCTCATAATGACATTTGTAAAATGAGACGTAGCACCAAGCCTGAACTCCTGGCTTGGGAAAAGGATTCTCGGGCTGAGAAGTGTTTGGAAATTGAGGAATTGTCTGCACATGGAGCTTCACCTCTTTCTGCCATGTTCACACCAGCAGTGCTTTGCTTCATGCCCAGATGTGTACCATGTTCACTGTGCTCTGATCCCAGCAGTGCCTGGCTTCATG